ATCCATTTCAACAAGCAAAAGGTATACATAATTTTTTGAAGGCTTGTATAACTAAGTAAAAATTTTACAATGACTATTAACTCATTTTTTTTATAGTTCCATTTCTAATGTCACAGTAATTGAAAGCGTTGTATCTGATAATAGCCTGGAAAATCAATCAGATCAATCGTTTGCTGAAATACAACCTAAAGACACCGACAGTGAAGAATATAAAGGTAATGAAAAAAATATAAAGCTTTTATATATTGCTTAAAGAATTAATCAATTTGATTTTGAAACATTAGTTGTTTCTTCGTAAAAAAATATTTAAAGAAAATATTTTACTTTGTTTTCAGATCAACGTATTAAAAATCGATCGAAAGACACTGACAATGCGTTAACGCATTTAACTCGTTTAGCTGATCAACTGTGTAACAAGGAAACACCTGTAATAAATCTTCCAAAATTGCCTGAGATTGCTGCATTAGATGGTATGTTTCTGTATATAAAAGAAAAATTGCAAAAATTAAATCAACAGAAACAGGATAAATTACTATTAAAATTTCTACAAGATATTAACAAGGAAGAAGAATGTTAATTTTGCGTCAATGATCTATACTAAAATTGACTAGCTAAAATGCTAAAAATAATGTTAATACTTGTTTGAATTTCAGATAAATACGTTTTTCTTTGTGTTTTTTTTTTATTTTTGCTTATGTAATTTCATTTGGTTTAAGTTTTTTTATTATTTTTTAACTATTCCATAATGCATGATCTGTCTCATATAATAATTAAAAAATAACCAGAATTTTAGTTAATTATCGGCAGTGAAAGATAAAAAATCATTATGAGATTGCCTGTAAAGGCTCGTTATGAAATTACCTGTAAAAGCGCCTTGTCTGTAAAAAATAATGTAAAATAATTTTACATTATATTTTTATATTTTTGTACGGACCGTCGCTCTTCTTTTCATTTAAAGCGAATATCTTACATTTATTTTGTTTTAATAATCAGTTATGAAAGCAAACAATTAT